TTTCACCCGAAGTTTATTTTTCAGTTGGGTGTTTGTACTGGGGGTTTCCGTTTTTTGTATAACTTGTAAATTGTAACTTATATCAACAGGCTTTTCATGGTCTGTCTTTGTTCTAGCAAGTAACCAATTGTCTCTTATGTAAAACTAGGGATGCCTCTTTTTAATTCTAAATATTAATATGATTTTACCTGATTTAGGACTAAAATAACCCAAGATTTAGTACTCCAGAGAGTACCAAAGAATCCAAAAATAGCTAGGCGTTTTCTTTCAATCAAATACTTTAGTAGTAGAAGTAGGAGTAGCCGTATCAGTAGTAGGACGTAGGAGTAGCAGTATTAGGAGTAGTAAACAAATATACCATGCACTGAGAAGCTCTAGTTGAAATAATGGATCGAGGTGGCAGGAATAGCACTATTTTTTGAGGGGCGTAGCCCCGAAAAAAATAGTGCTTTTTCTGTCGCCGAGGAATCCATAATTTCACTAGTGGCTTGAAATAGTGCAGGATATATCTGTTTTATATTTTTCAAACCAACCTTCATTAAAATAATACTAATAATAATAATGTTTACTGTCACCGAAGTAGTGTAGACTGCAGTGAGAGCAGCACAGACGACAGTACCGCGACCGATAGCACATTGATCTTGATCGATCGCATATATATATATATATATATGACGGCATCCATGGTATAGTGCTAAGGTATAGTGCACTATACCATGGATGACGTCACAGTTAAATCATAGCAATGTTATGTTTGGTCACATGATGCTATGTTGACCGATCACTGAACAGGATTTCATTGATCAAAAATATAATAGTAGATATAATAGTAGTTATAGTAGTAGTAGTAGTAGTAGTAGTAGTAGTAGTAATAGTAGAAGTTATAGAAGAAATAGTAGTAGTAGTAGTAGTAGTAGTAGTAGAAGCAGTGGTGCTGGTATTATTATTGTCGTTAGTAGTGGAAGTAGTAGTAGTAGAAGAATGAAAATAATTGTATTATTGTTATCGTTATGTTAGGAGAAGAAGTAGAAGTAGTAGTAGTAGTAGTAGAAGTAGAAGTAGTCAAAATATTGGTAACAAAAGTAGAAGCCGTAGCGGTAGTAGTTGTAGTAGTGGTAGTATTATTATAATTAGTAGTAGGAATGATGTTAGTAGTGGTATTATTATTATTATTATTATTATTATTATTATTATTATTATTATTATTAGTAGTAGTAGTAGTAGTAGTAGTAGTTGTATTATTATTGTCGTTAGTAGTAGTAGTAGTAGTAGTAGTAGTAGTAATAGTGGTAGTATTAATATTAGTAGTAATAGTAGTAGTAGAAGTGGTAGTAAAGGAATTTATTGTTATCATTATGGAAGTAGGAGTAGTAGTACTAGTAATAGCAAGAACAACTGTAATGATTATTTATCAATAATAACAATAACAACTGTAATAATAATAAAGACTAAATAAGATAATCATGCTCATTGACCCTTGTCATTAATACCAGCGGTTCTAGGACACCTACCCAGGGACATCCACCCCCGGAAAACCACCCCAGTCAACTACACCCTAGGAAAACTACCCCTAGGGCAGCCACCTTCTAGGACGACAACACCCCGGGACAACTACCCCCGGACAACTACCCCTAGGACAACTACCCCCTAGGACAGCTACCCCCTAGGACAACAACTCCCGGACAACTACCCCCACACAACTACCCCCTTCGACAACCATCCTCTAAAACAACTACCCCGGACAACTATCCACTGGGGGTGGCTATCTGGGGGTAGTTGTCCAAATGGGGTAATTGTCCTGTAATTGTCCTAGGTAGTAGTTGACTGTGGTGGTTATCCGGGGGTGGATGTCACTCCAGGGGGTAGGTGTCTGGATACGATACCAGCGGCGTCATATATCATCTGCACCAATTTGATAACCTATACAATTTATTATTTATCTTCTATCTACAGCGGGATCTTTCTCTACTGAAAAGACGACTACAGAAACACTAGAAGGTGAATATGTTTTCCTTAAATTCGAAATATACATATCCTTTACAATTTTGTACATCCAGAGTATTTATAAAATTATTTATTTCTATTATGATCTCAGTTAATAAATAACATAAAACACACAATTCTAGCCGAATTCTCTTACCTTTCCACGTCTAATTGAATAATAAGATAATAGGATGTAAATTCAAATTCATGGTTCTAATTGTTAAATTGTATTGGTTTCGTGATGTCTTGTTCGCGCAATGCATTTCAAGACTGCAATATGACAGATATTAAACGATTACTGCTCTAATAACTTTGAAAACTGATTTAGCAATTTTGTAAAACAAGATGAGACAAGATCCCTAACGTATCACAATTCTGGAAACAAAAAGTCATTTAAAGAGCTAAATAAACTTTTGTATCAAGCGCCACTGGAATTCAATGTATGTCTTTTCATATCGTACGTATTTGCAAAGATATATTTAAAGGTAAAGACCGGTAATTGAAACGCCCCAAATTCAAAAAATAAAATGGAAGCTCTTATTACCAATCATGTGAAAGAATATGTTTTGACTAGTACGTGATGATAACAATTTTGCCGGGAAACCGCCTACTAATTGATATATTTGGTAAATTAGTTTATCTATTGGCCTGTGAGAGATAAACGCACGTCTTGCGCACGTGTGCGTAGTCCCATGTACATCTTTCTGTGTACAGTGCTTGTAACTTTACGAAGACTGGGCCAAATTTCTTATCATTTTGATAATTCCAGAACCTTGCAGTACACACCAATACTTATATGCTAGATGATCAACCTTTTCTGATCGATTCCACAACGTTTCGTTCACAATGCAATCGCATGACCATAAGTGGTCTTTATTTTTAACTTGTAACTTGTACTTTGTATCAATTGGCTTTTCAGGGTCTATCTTTGGGCAAGCAAGTAGCAATTTGTATCTTGATAAAGGGAAGGGGGTGGTATCATGTTTATTTTAAATAATGACCTGAATTTATCTGATTTATAACTGAAATAAACAAAGGATTACCCCTCATTACCTCAGGACGATCTACACCTAGTACTCGGAAAGTACCACATAATCCAAAATAACTAGGATTTTCTTTCTTTGATTATAATAGGAAAAGTAGTAGAAGTAGAAGAAGAAGAAGAAGTAGTAGTAGTAGTAGTAGTAGTAGTTGTAGTAGTAATAGAAGTAGTAGGATTAGCAGTTGTAGTAGTAGTAGTAGTAGTAGTAGTAGTAGTAGTAGTAGTAATAGTATAAATAGTCTAAATAGTAGTAACACACGTAGTAGTCTTATTGGGAGTAGAGGTAGTATTATTATAATTGGTAGTAGTAGAGGTGGTAATAGTGGTATTATCATTATCATTAGTAGTGTAAGTGATGGTAGTAGGGGAATTTTTATTATCATTAATAGAAGTAGTAGTAGTAGTAGTAGTAGAAGAAGAAGTAATAGTAACTAGCGACCATAATAATAATAATGAATAAATTAATAATAACAATAACAACAATATTGATAATATTTATATCAATTATTATAATGATGATGATAACAATTTTGATAATGATAATGATAACAATAGTTTGAAGATAAAAACTAAATACAATTATCATGCTCATTGACCCTTGTCATTTAATAATACCAGCTATGTCATATCTATATAATATTTACACCAATCTGGTAACCTATACTTTTTATTTATCTTCTATCTACAGCGGGATCTTTCACGACTGAAGGAACTACTCTAGAGACGCCAGAAGGTGAATAAATTATTTACATTCGAGATCTATATATCCTCTCGAGTTTTGTACACCAAGAGTATTTATGTAATTATTGGAATCTTGTTATGATCTCAGTTGATAAATAACATTAAACAAACAATATTATCCTGCTTCTTTCAATCCTTTCCTAGGTTAATGGAATAATAAGGAATTAACATGCAAGAAGTAATTTAAATGTATGGTTTTGATCTAAAATTGTTCATGTTCACGTAATGTATTTCAAGAAAGCAATATAAAGATGTCAAACTAATACTTCTCTAATAAATTGGCAAACTTATTGTGAAACAATTCACTTAATACATTACAATTCTGGAAACAAAAAGGAGCAGGCAAAAAATAATAATATACATATTAACAGACATGCAATAAATTTACCTTCTCGAATTAGTTTAATTGCCCTAACAACTCTGAATTGTATGTACTGTACGAGAATCTGAAATACAATGCATTTAAATAGTGACTCGGAAACTCTTTAAATAGTGATCAAATACAACCCGACTTATATACTTCGTATCGAGTGTGTCTGATTCTTTTTTTTTTCACCCGAAGCTCATGTTTCAGTTAATAGGTGTTTTTGTTTAAATTGTAACCTATATCAACTGGCTTTCATGGTCTGTCTTTATGCAAGAAATTAGCCATTTGTCTCATATGTAATATAGGGAACCCCTTTCTATTCTAAATAATTATAAGACTGTATCTTATCATATGATGTATAACTACAAATAACCAAAACATTACACCTCAAAACCTTAGGAAGATCTACACTTAGTACTCCAGAAAGTGCAACAGAATCCGCAATAGCTAGTCCTTTTCTTTCATTTAAATAGGAATAGTAGTAGTTGCAGTAGTAGCAGTAAGAGAAGCCGTAGCAGCAGTATGAGTAGGAGTAGTAGGAAATTAGTAGTTGGAGAAACAGTAGTAGGAATAGTAGTAGTAGTAGTAGTAGTAGTAGTAGTAGTAGTGGTAGTAGTAGTAGTAATAGTTCCAGTAGTAATAGTAGGATTAGTGGTATTAGTAGTAGAAGAAACAGTCAAAAAGTATTAAAAACAGTAGTAGTCTTAATAGTAAACGGAACCTATGATTTTTCTTGTATTTAATCAAGGGGCAGTTAGGGTTCGTTTTATGTCTGTCCTGAATATTCTTGCATTATTTCAAACACATAGATAGTATTCTTATGAATGATATTTACTTGATATTTCTAATTGTAACAGAGCCATCCCGTGTACCGTGTAACTGTTCTGGATCTGCTGTAGGCATCGCAGTCTTAGCCATCCTGTTAGCTGTGTCTATCATCACCAACGTCATTCAATTCATTGTGTGGAGAAGACAAGAAACAATATCAGGTTAACTGAACTACCCCAACCCCACCCTGAAAAGTATTGTGTTTCAACCCGATCCCACCTCCCATATAACAATTACTATAACTAATAATCAAGTTGACATAATTTCCTTATGATATGAAAATATATCCATTTAAAAGGGGTGGTTTTGGGAAGGGTTTAAATGGTGTATTCTTTCTTCTTTTGTCCATTTACAGCCCTCGAACTATGTGTAAAAGTAAATTCTACAAAACATACATATATTAATCGCAAAGTTACTTTCCAAGAAAAACTGGCGGAAATTGGTAACTATGATTTGGTATTAGAATAGTCTATTTAAACAGTTTACAAATGAAAGTATCCTTCAATTATATACCTCATATTGATTCGTTCTATTAAAAAAAATACATATCAACAATTTTACTCATCAGATTTGCGTGTAAATAATTTGTATTCTTGTAATTGTATCACTGATTCACTTAGCTTTCTATAAATGAATGCAGATATTCATTTATTATAAAAATCATAGGAATAGTAGCTTTTTTATATATCCACAGAATGTCATTGAACTAAAATTAGTTTTGTAATATCCCTAGCGACTGCATTATGTCTTATGAAAATGAATGGAACTATTTAAATTTGATTGGACTATATATATGTCATTCTGTAAAGTAATTTTTTTTTTTTGGTAACATGCATAAAATATTTAATTATCAAAGATAAAGTAATCCTTATCAGGATATCCTAATCAAGCTGACGAAACTAATATGTTACAAGTTAATGGCCTATCATGAAAAACCGATTCGTGTTAGTGTTTAAAATGTATGTATTTAATTGTCATTGACTTAATAATTGCCTTAGCAGATTAGGGAAACATATTACTGAAAATTGATAGCGAAGGTATTTTTTTTTGCATATCATAATTCGTATCGCTTTCTCGAAAGTACTTACCAATACATGTACCATGTCAATACCTCAGGATAGTGCTCATTTACTACGGACTAAAGTTAGTTTCCATGTTGATAAATGTGTCATATACCTTTTTTCTGTGCGCAGAAGATATATCAACATTTCTATATTGGATTCTTCTTTTTGTTTTTTCTTTTTGCAGGTTTTGAAGCATCAAAGAAACCTGTTCCTAGGTTAGTATTAAGCAGTTTGGAATATTGAACAGAATTTATATATATATATATATATATATATATATATATATATATATATATCGATTACACAAACATATGCGCCCACAATTTATCATGTGTTTACAATCATGTTAAATATGTTTAAAAGTAAAGTGAAACTCGAGCTTGTATTCATATGAAACTCTCGTCTTTAAGGGGATTAAAAAGAAGTTAATTTGAATGCAGAATGAAGACATGTTTCGTAATGCGGAAAACGAAAATGATTCGGTATTTATTATCACACCAAAAATGAGCATCCCTTTTCTAATACAAGTATTTGGAAATTAGCTCTGTGAGATGGCTATGAGATGGCGCTGTACAATAAACAGTACGCTACTAGGGCAGAAAGTTGAACATGTTAGTATTGATTTAAATGCCTTATAAGAAATAACATTTGTTTTTTTGTCAGAGAAAAAAGATGCGTATCCCATGAGGCGAATGAGAACATGGCATATGAGATGATTCAGACCGGAGATAGCGGTGAGAAAATGTGTGAAATCAGTCAAATGTTTGCGTTGGAAAATTTATTCACAACATAAGTAGTGGAGATATTTATGACTTTGTACGTGGCCAAATAAATGTCTCATAGTTATACAAATACTAAATGATAATCATGTCGCCCCAAACTCCCTCCCCCCCCCCCAATTAGGGTACGCATATGCTTGCTCCCTCCATTTGAAAAGCCCCCCAAAGTCCAGTGTGTAAAGTCAATACGGGCCGGATTTCTGTGTACTACGTGCCGGACTTTGGTGCGCGAAAAGTACCCCTTTTTTGGACATTTTGGTAACACGCTTGATATCCCTTCGTTCCCGGAGTAGGGGGGGGGGGGCGGGCCCAAACTGACAATATGTCGTAACTATCAAGTGCATACTTTGTATCAATTGATTAAATTAGTAGTATATTTTCCGAAGAAAACATAAGCTTAATCATTCTCCCCGATCATATTCATGCTTGGCCTACTACTCAACAGAGGTTTAAAATCTTACCTCTGATAATAGCCACTTTTTTTTAAATTGCGAATTCACATCCCTTCCCGTACACACACGCATACACACACTCAATGATTAGTTTCTGGTGAATACTCTTTCACGTTCGTTTTATATTTCAAAAGAAATGTAGAATGATCGTCCGAGGGTAGCTTTAACCCTTTTTTAGAGTGTAAAAGATTGCTTGCATTTTATCTTTTAAATAATAGAATCCTTGTGATAATATTTTGTTTTTGTTTTTATTTTATAGCATGCACAGCCCTCAAACTCGGTCCATCCTACTCCCCCATCATTGCTCCTGGAAACGTGACGTTTTTCACTAGACTCGGTTCAATCGGACGGGGTGATTTCGGCGAGGTATGGAAGGGAGAACTTCGCTCGAATCAAAGTCAAGTAGACGTTGCTATCAGGCAGATTCCAGGTGAGGTTTTGCCAACCACTCCTTAAAAAGACCGAAAGGGAAAATCGCTTTCATGAATATCAATGTAGCCTAAAATAACTTGAACTTCATGAAACGTTGTATTTATCATTAATAATCACTAATAACACATCGCTTGTAAAGTAAGCCATTTATTATGTTCTCTTAGATCAAGTGACCAAATCAAGCAACGTTCTTGAAGCTGTCAGTGTACTTTCTGAGCTAGCGGATCAGCCAAATGTTGTCACGTGCCTGGGATATTGTCAAGAACAAGGTAAAAACCTCCTCCGGTAAAAAAAAAAGCTGTCCATTGTCTGCCAAATATCATACTTATTAAAGGCATCATTTAACAATGCTAAATCTGAGATGCACTGCCCTACGTGTTATCAATGTCTGTGATATGTTGTAATATTGAAGCCCCACCCCCCCCCCGAAAAGAAAAGAAAGAAAATCGCCATTCAAAATGATCAAGAAGTGCCTCACAAAATTAAAAGTCTTTGAGTGACCGGTTTTACCATACTCGTTTTCCCATATAGACTGTAGTGTTATGAAAACCGTTAGGAACAAGCGGAATTTGGTTTCGTTTTCCAATCATATATATCTTGATAATCAGACAGGCGATCGGCTTGTAAAAGTCATGGGGTTCCTGACTGACCTAAAGGTTTATAATTATTATTGCAGCATGAGCTTAATCCAGGATTTTGTTTCAGAATCTGAGACAAAGTTACCAGATTCCTTTAATGTGAATATGAGAATTTTATCTAATAAATTCGGTATAGTTAAGGGTATGAAACATTTTTGTGTATGCTCCGCGCCTGACGAACAAGGAACGATTTAATCAGTAAAACAAGAACTTCAAGGTCTTTGAAGACCATTCCAATCTATTGGATAGTTAATGTTTTTCTTTTAATAAAACGAGATTTTTGATGAAACACAATGTAACAGCTGAATTTCAACACCATCACAATATTTTTGTTCGGATATTTGTTCGGATTTCGTAATAAGACATTGCCATGTTCCCACATAGGGGTCGCACATGGCGATTAAAAAGGCGATAGATTGATTTTTTTCCAGGAAGTAGGTGCTATCGTGTTTTTCATACATTTTTTTCTTCAATTGAACGAATTGCCCTTGATGCAGGTAGCATTCTGTATGAGTTCATCTCTGGGGGTACCCTACTCACCCATCTACAGACAACGGGGGTGGAGTCCCAACCCACATACGGCAATCTCAAACCAAAGGGGGTTCGTCTCGATGAAGGTAGTCTACTCAACTTGGCTTGGCAAATTGCAAAAGGGATGCAATTTCTTGGATCTAAGAAGGTAAAATTATTTCAAGAGGAGAGGGGAGTATTCTTTTTTTAAAGGAGGAGATAATGAGGAATAATTGAGAAGCCGAAAAAAGGAGACAATGAGGAGGGGGTGGTTGTGAGCATGTACGTTGAGGCCGAGGAAAAGGTGATAAAACATGAGGAACGATGCGAGAGTCGGAAATGAAATTCATAATGAGAATGGTGAAAATGAGCTGAAGCTTACTCCACAAATGAATTATTTTATAATGTTTTTTATTAATTTGTTTATTGTTACTGTTTAAATTTTTTATTATCGTTTTTTTTAAACTCTTAAAGGTAATACAAAGTTTTGGGAAATTTAGAAAATTGGGTGGATAATGAATCTTTACAATTTTGATAAAATTGGATGCCCCCATGGATGTATTATAAGCACTAAAACAATTAACCTCAGAAACACTCCTGTTTTCGAGAAAAATTTAATATAAAAATTTACCGGTGCTGCCGGTAAATTTTGGTAAATTTCAAATAGCGCTTACGGCCGTACAATGGTAGCTGCGACCATGAAAATCTCAGAATATGTAGTTGTGATATATAATTTCCAAACGGGAATAGCTAATCGGTCCAATATGCTTATTTGAACCAAATTCATGACCCTATACCAAAACTTTGTATTACCTTTAAGATCATCCATGGAACTCTCTGTGCTCACAATGTGTTACTAGCTGATGGAAGGCAATGCAAGTTATCAGATTATGGACTATCTTCATCATTGTTTAGCGACAAAGGTGTAAGTATTATCGCTTATATTCAATGATATATTGTCAGCATAGAAAAAAATATCGAAACATAATTGAAACTAGGAAAACGCGACCCATGGAATTATGTTTTATGATTTTTCACGTTTGTTATTGTTTTCCCTTAAATTATTTAAACACAATAGTATATATATATATATATATATATTTATATATATAACCTGTACTGTACTTACTTTATCGACAGTGGTTTTTGTATAGTTTTGCCATTTGCTATATTGTATATTTTGTATACTTGTGAACAATTCAGCCTGCTAATCATGATTTGTGTTAAACCATGAATAAATGATATTAAATTATTTAAAGAAATGAAAAGAAAAACTGTAATTCTCAGAAACTTAACGTTAAGATGATTTTCAACCTTCTTTGTATTTTCCAACTTTTAAGAAACCAACAAGATGGAGTTCGCCTGAATCCATGGGTACTGGTGACCAATCAACATATGGAGATATCTGGTCTTTTGGTATCGTCTTGTGGGAAATTGTAACATTGGGTAAAAAAAGAAAAATAATATCACAACAAATTTTTCGTTTCATCCTAAAGACCCTGATATTATCATATAATACAGATTAAATTGATGATAAATGGAGATATCTGGTCTTTTGGTATCGTCTTGTGGGAAATTGTGACATTGGGTAAAAAAAGAAAAATAATATCACAACAAATTTTTCGTTCCATCCTAAAGACCCTGATATTATCATATAATAAAGATTAAATTGATGATAAATAATAATAATAATAATAATGATAATAATAATAGGGATAATATTTGGTAACCATAGGAAGCCTTATCAGTTGTACAGCTGTTCATCCGCATGGCCTTTTCATTAATATTACCCTAGCAATATAATAGCCAGGTGGGTGGAATGGGTAGAGAGTGACAACTATGGATTTACATCTTACCGAAGGACGTTAGTGCCAGGCTGGAATTCGAAACCCTTGGAATGAAAGTCAAAAGAATGAACCACTATACAACGTTTTCTTCACTTTAAGTGGTTCATATGATGTTAGTAACTAAAGTAACATATATCATTGGAATTTAGTAATCAAATAGAAAATTATTGATATTTGTTTGGCGTACGTTAAGGACAGAGAATGCAAGTTACCTTTTCTACATTTTATGTATATTTATTTACCGATAATAAGTGCGATTTTAGATTCATTGTATTGTTCCTATCACAATACATGTCACAGATGTTAATAACATTAGGTCTAACGTTTTCCCACTAGTTCTGCGTGTACTATCAAAGTTTGATAGAAAATTATATATGTGGTTAAAGGTAATACAAAGTTTTGGGGAATTTTGAAAATTGGGTGGATACCCAATAAACAAAATCACGTGAAAATCACGTCAATATCAAGGTATCGACTTGAGGAGAGTTACGTTCTTCAAACACCGGACATTTACGTAAATGTGTTAATACGTTTCTTGCAATAGGTAACTTAAAACACACGTACACTAAATCATGCAATTGTCACTGCAATATCACCATTATAATAACGTGATTATCCCCACCTTGGAGACCATGGTTTGTAAACCTAACACTCCCGTGTTTGTTTGGTTATGAAATTACATCTTCATACACGAAATTATCGCGTCACAGAAACACGTGAAGCGTTAGTGATAGTTTTAGTCAGAATATCTGCGTGAAATTCACGTGAATATTACGAGGCTGACTTGAGATGAATCATGTTCTTCATTCACGTGAAATTTACGTCGAAGAGGAAGTATGTTACTGTAACCCGCGTTCAACCCAATAATTACGCAAATGTTACACAATAAATGAACCAAAATAATGACGTTCTCATCCCGTTTCTGAACATTGTGTCGTGGATCTTCCATAATTACGTCCAGGCACGCCGGAAGCAGTTTGGGATTAGAGGGGGTTGGGTGGGGGGGGGGGGGGGGGGGTGCAAACATCCCAGAAGAGAAAGCTAGTTGCAACTGGTCCAGTTGATGAACCATTTAATGCCAACTGGTAACCCTGGAAATTGAAATGGGCTAAATGATCCAGTTGATCCAGGCCAGTTATAATTCAACTGGTCTAGCTGAGCCATTAGAACCATTTGGTAAAACTTCCAACCAGTTGAACAGCAACAATACTTCAATACTGGTACGTCTGTATTTCCAATGTAAGGGCATTGGTAATAAGTAGACTTACATAATTGAATTAATTGAAATAAATTCGTATACTTGTACTTTATTGAAATTATTTTTAGTTCATAGTTAATGTTTCCCTTATTCATGTTTAACTATTTATACGTAGTAGCGAAATGTCCTAATAACTGGTAATTTATATTTGTAGTATTTTCGAAATGAATTGCATATAACTAAATCATCAGTAATTAAGAAATATGCTGTAAATTCAGATAAATTGTTTAAAAAACATAGATCTGCACGCACCCCATATTCAATATGCAAATGAATTGGTGTCAGCTGGGTCAACTCGAAATATGCCAACGCTCAGTCATCAACTGGTGCAACTGGAAATATGCACACTCCAGTTATCAACTGGTGCAATGAAAATATGCCAACAGTCAGTTATATGGTACCTTAAATGGTAACTGTGAAACCATCAAGACACCCAAGAATAACTCATTTTCACACATGGAAAACACGGAATTCCCAGCTTATATTAATAATCCGTTTGAGTCACGCGATCATCACCGCGGAACTGCTGGCAACTTTGACTACGATTTAAATAGGTGTTTTAAGACACCTAATAATGACTAATTTTTCACACCTAAATATCACGGATTCACAGCTTAGATTAGTAATCAGTTTTAACTACGTGATCATCACCAAAAAAGTTATGGTAACTTTGAAACCATTTAAATAGATGTTTTAAGACACCTAATAATGACTAATTTTCACACCTAAAAGTCACGTATGACAAGCTTAGATCAATAATCCGTTTGAGTCACGAGATCATCACCCCGGAACTTATGGCAACTTTGACTACCATTTAAAAAGGTGTTTTAAAACACTTAATAATTACTAATTTTCACACCTACATATCACGTTTTCACACCTTAGATTAGTAATCAGCTTGAGCCACGTGATCATAACCAAGAAATTTATGGTAACTTTGAAACCTTTTAAAGAGGTGTGTAAGACACTTCAGAATTACTAGTTGAATATAACCAGAGATTCACGGACAGAACAATAAGACGATTAGCCGGTGTAAGTAACGTGATTATTACCATCAACCTTGGATAACCTGTGAAACCAATCAATAAAGGTACTTACAAGACCAAATAATTACGTATTTATCGCCACCATCGGTTAACTGACAAAAAACTCGTTCCTTGGTCAAGTGGTTATTTGGTCATAAACACTTGATTTACAGAGGTAAGTGGAATCCCGTTACTCCAGTCGCGTGATAAACTGGTGGTTTTTAGGTTAGATGAAAACGTGAACAAGGAGTACCTTTTTTGTTTAAATGAAGGCACGTGTCGATAACGTTTAAATCTAGTTCAAAAGGCACTATACTTTAAAATCACTTAAAATACACTCCCAAAAGAGGTTACTTTTTGGTGTTCTGTTTATTGGGTAGTGATTCTTTACAATTTTTATATATGTGGATGCCCCTGTGGGTGTATTATAAGCACTAGAAAATTTAGACCCTGAAACTCTTTTGTTTTCGAGTAAAATTGAATATAAAAATGTACCGGTGCTCCCGGTAAATTTTGATAAATTTCAAATGGCGCCTACGGCCGTACGATGGTAGCTGCGACCATGAAATTCTCAGAAAATGTAGTTGTGATATATAATTTCCAAACGGGAAAAGCTAATCGATCGATTTCGGTCAAGAAACATTGTTTTATAGCTTAATTAATATCTTGACCTTGAGAGGGAGCTATACAACATAAAGAGTTTATTATCTACAATTTCATAACTTTAGACTCGATTTCAACCGCGACAACGATCAATGAGTATTGTAGGATCGCATATGTTTCCAATATGTTCATTTGAACCGAATACATGAACCCATACCAAAACTTTGTATTACCTTTAAATCTAATTCCTCCCAAGACCTCCAGATGCCCCATATTCATATATTGGATTAAATGTTTTACTTGTTATTTTTTTTGATTATTTAAAGGTGCGAGGCCGTACCCTAATATGACCTTTGACGCTGTTCAAACGGAGGTTGACAATGGTTACCAGATGCCACGCCCTCGTCATTGTGCACAAGAAGTGTAAAGTATCATGTTTTTAGGCTTTACTTTGTCTAGGCTTTTAGGCTTAAATGGATAACTGGAGACTATACTGATCATCACATACTGATCATCATATATATTTACATAAATTTACATTTTAAACACAAGATAAATAACAAAGGGAAATGAATGAATGAATGGTTATAACCTTACTATTTCTTGAATAATTTCATTGTATTTCGTCAATAAAACGCTTTGCTTATTTGCTATATGATATTGCATTTTTTTTAATGAATAAAGAAACAGAATTTTAATATTACTATTATACTCTTTACCATCATAGAGAATGTTGATATATATTATGTTTATTACGTAATGGCCTAAATTTAACATGAGGTTTATCATGTTTCCCTTTTCTTCAATATAACTTTTAATTTTGTTATAATATCTATTTTCTCATGAAAGTGATTATTAAACAACTTTTCATTTTTTCCAAAAAACTCGAACCTTATTATATTTTAACAAAATAATAAAATTGGTTTATGTTTCTTAACATACATCAAACTGGTCATTGTCCATTATACGCCATGTGCATAGATTATGATTTGATGGAAAGATATAAAGCAATACTTAAAAAAACTTGATATATTATTTTTGTTAAAATTGACAATTTAAGACTTTCTGCCAAGTAAATGAAAAAGGTATATTCAAATAATTTACCCAGTGACGTGTTACAATAGGTTTTTTTAAGTTTTTTTTTCAGGAGGGATAAGTAATAATGTTTCGCCTTCAAACTGAATACTGTAGTTTAACGAATCTCCTGTAGCTACTCATATCCAATTTCAGTATACATTTAACTTATGGCTTGGAAAACATTTCTTAAATTTCGCGTATTCGAACTAAAATAATAATTGATGAATACCAACTTTACTATTCAACAGAATCGAATCTTTCCAACTTACATTTATAATCACGTGCTTCACTTTACACATTCATGTTACGTACCACATTGAGAACAATAATGTCGAATTGTTGATGTGATATGACTATTTTTCCATAATATCTCCTCTTTTATTTCTGTTACCTCAACCAAACCTTGATATTAAAAATTGTACCATGCATTACAAAGATTTTGATAAAACTCTGGCAGTCTATTTTGTTTACTTAACATATTCATATTTTTCTAAATATTTAAATATCTAAAGATATCTGGAAAATTTCCTATCATTTCGATCAAATATTTAGTAATGATTTTCATCTGCAAAATTTGTTCATCCAATAATTTGCTCATCAAAGATAAGTACAAAGAATTTATTTTCGATTCAATGTCTACCATATCAATACTTGACATACATGTACATGACGATGATTGTTATATATATATAATAATGGATAGATTTAATGATGATGTTGATCATCAGATGCGGATTATATTTCCCACCGATATATATCTAAGGTAAGTTACACGAAAAATCTCTCCTTTGACTCTATATGGGAACCTGAAAATAAAACGTTTAGCACTTCTTTTAGATAAGTATCAACTTCTTCTTATCTTTCAGGTATACGGTCATGTCTGGTTGTTGGGAGAAGGAACCTACGAATCGGAGTAACTTTGATCAGACCCTCACGAGTTTGGAGAGGATTCTAGAAAAAGAATCACGTAAGATGAACTCAACTGCATTATTTTTATATGTCCAATGCAGAATTTATTTTCCCCATGTTATGGCCCGGTCCCACTGGCCGATGGACACAACACGTATGCATAAAGGACACAGCGGACGAGCAAAATTTCGCGGGTGGCTCCATCCGTTTTCATCCGCTCCAGAAATGGACAAAATTTGCGAAAATTTGCGAAAACAGAACGGAAAATAACGGACGTGGGTAGTATGTAGCGGGAATGTTAAACGGATGTTCATCGGAAGCCTAGCGAATGAAAGCGGATGGAAGTGGATGACAGCTTTGAAAACTTTATATACGAGATGCATACGCTTACATCCTTTCTATTTCCGTGCTACTAACGATGTACAGACGTTCCGTGTACCTTATCTTTCCTCCCTCTTTCCGTTTTCAGGTGTAGCGGATGTGAGTTGCGAGGATGCCCAGAGGATGCAGAGAGGATACAGCGGACGTTTAACGGATGATAACGGACATAGAACGTTTGTTGCTCGTATTTGTCGCGGATTTACATCGTACACGGCGGAAGTTCATCCGTTCTAAAAGTTTTGTGCAGCTCAAAACTTTTTGCGCGGATGAAATCACAGTGGACGGATGCTCGATGGATAGAGCGTATGAAACACGTATGCAATGAGTACACAACGGATGCATAGCGTTTTCCAACGGATGGCAAGATTTTGTTACGCTTTACATCCTCTTTGCATCCGTAAGTGCAGTGGGACCGGGCCTTTATATTCATTTATATAATCCCGTCGGTATATTAACCTCAGTTGAACAGGTATCATGAAAAACCCTGACTTAATAATGATCTTGAAACTTCTTTTCCTTTTTTAATGGTTATCTATGTTTTTTAATTTATTTATCTCCCATATCCTTCCGATGCCTTTTCATATATATTTAAGTTTTTTTGTATTCATATATAATCATAATTTTTCTTATTTTCAATTTTTCCATAGAATTAAGAAGGAGGCAATAAACGTCTCATATTGACAATTCCTTTTTTTATTTGTCAACATTAAAATTGCAATGTGAGCGTCAGAATGATGCCGGGAAGAAATGCTTTCAGATCTAAAGCCAGGGTCAAAATACTACTTTAGTTTTATAGGCATCGTTTAATGTTTAGTCTGAGATACATGGTCCTACGTGCTATCAGTGCCTGTGATATGGTGTAACATTGCAATTGTTATTATTATCATTTTCATATTAATAGTATTATCATTTTGAATTTCACAGATTTACCTGTCTCTCAATGACTTAGATGAAGGATTGTTTGTGTCTACACTGGACATGTGAGATTAAGCCTAGGTCGGATATACAGCGGTACTACAATGCATCTTCACCTTTTTCGCTGTATGATGACTGGAACCGAGCCAACTAATTGGACTATAGGGACGTTGTAGGGACATTAAAAGGACTAACTTGTGTTAGATTTAGCCAAGAGTGCAGAATTAGGCTATCGCAAATACTTTAAAAAAATATTTTGCGTTGAGTTTACGTCATTTTGAAAGATTTTCCTTTTTTTTCAATATCAATAAGTAGAATTTGTAAAATAGTTAAAGAAGTTTAATTGACAATGTCTGGATGTGCAGCTATTTTAGAAAACATGAAATTTGTGAATATCAAGAGGCCCTAGTATAACAACTGATCTCATACATTCAACAGCAATTTTTTTGTTTTTACTGTGTGAAATTTATTTCTAATTACCTTGCAACGTTTGCCAATCTTTGTGTTATTTCATAGTATTGTATATGTGGATGACCTCCTACCCCCTTTCTTCTTTCTTTTCATCACCCCTCTCTCTCTCTTCTCTCTCTCTCTCTCTCTATATATATATTTTCCTTTGTTTCCATTCTCCCCTCCGTCTGTCAATCCATATTTATCTCTCTCCACTATTCTCCTCTTCTTTCCATCTTTTGCACTCTTAGTCCTCTTTCTCACCCTCTCCCCTTCACCTGCCTTTTCAAAACATAGAGCTTACTTTAATATGGCTCACTCTTCCCTTTAGGGTATCATTTACATCACACAATACTATTTCGAAACCTTCATCTATACATTAAAGGTAAAGACCAGTTATGGTCATGCGAATGCATTGTGAAAGAAACGTTGTGGAATCGATCAGAAAAGGTTGATCATCCAGCATCTAGCATCTGCAAGGTTCTGGAATCATCAAAATGATAAGAAATTTGGCCCAGTCTTCGTAAAGTTACAAGCACTATACACAGAAAGATGTATATGGGACTACCCTATATCTCTCACAGATCATGAGAGAAACAAATTTACCAAATATACGAATTAGTAGGCAGTTTCCCGGCAAATTTTTTATCATCATGTATTAGTCAAAACATATTCTTTCACATGATTGGTAATGAGAGCTTCCATTTCATTTTTTGAAATTGGGGCGTTTCCAATACTGGTCTTTACCTTTAAAAACATATACTTCTCTTTCAATAGTAGACACACAATTATCACAATTTTGAGTAATTTCCAGTCGCATAAAGATTGTTTACTCGTATTTGTATGTTCCTGCTTAAAGGTAATACAAAGTTTGGGGGAATTTTGAATTGGGTGGATGGTGATTCTTTACAATTTTGATATATTTGGATGCCCATGTGGATGTATTATAAGCACTATAAAATTTAGCCCCTAAAACATTTCTGTTTTCGAGAAAAATTGAATATAAAAATTTAACGGTGCTCCCGGTAAATTTTGATGAATTTCTAATAGCGCCTACGGCCATACAATGGTAACTGCGACCATGAAAATCTTAGAATATGTAGTTGTGATATATAATTTCCAAACCGGAATAGCTAATCGGTCGATTTTAGTCAATAAACATTGTTTTATAGCTTAATTAATATATTGACCTTGAGAGGTAGCTATACAACATAAAACTTTAGTTATTTACAATTTCATAACTTTAGACTCGATTTCAACCGCGACAACGATCACTGAATATTGTAGGATAGTATATGCTTCCAATATGTTCATTTGAACCAAATTCATGACCCCATACCAAAACTTTGTAATACCTTTAATGTATTTCTTATTATGTAGATACTTTTGTAAAATTATTGTACAATTCAGCCCCTGGCTGCGATGCAGTATTATAATATAATAACTATTCCTTTTATAGTATACTTTAACCCTACATTAAAACCAAATAGCCTCGCAATACTATGTCTGATCGATTGTTGAGCTGGCCTGACCCCATAGGTACGTGCTCTATTCCCCCAAAATTGGAATATTATTTGCTTACCTATTTTCATGAAATAATTGTTACATTTTATTTATTTTTGAACAATTAAGTTTATGTCTGTTAGGAACTATATTCATTAATTTAAAGGGTCATAGAGATTCATCAAAAAAGTTATGGGAATATAAACAAGCTTTATCTGTCAAGAAAACAAAAATAATGTCACAATTACAACTTCATCGGCATCAGGGTATACTATTATGTTGGCCTGTGCGTATGTGTGTGTGTCTGCGCGCGCGTGTGTGTGCGTGTGTGTATGCGGGCGTGTATGTTTGTGTTGATTATAAATATAAAGGGTATGTTCTAATATCTAGTTCACAGTAACTGTGCTAAGGTTATGTCAATATTGTTTAGACGGTAAAATATCATCGTATGGTTCTACGGTTTTGATATTCTCTATGCTTCTCTTTTTTGCACAATTCTCTTTGTACATAATGTTTCTACTGTGCTAAATATTCAACGTATTATATAAATATATATACAACTCAGCACTTACTAGATATAGACGACAACATTCGGGAGTGTACATAAAGATATTTTACAACGCAACAAAATTGGAGAAAGATACAAGGATATTCTGTATTTGAAAGAGAGATCAGAAAAGGCATAGAATAACAATCTAGCAGAAAGGAAAGTGTACAATAACAAACGAAAAGATAAAAGTTCATTTAAATTTTTAATAACAAGTGTAAGTTAAATTTGATGTTGTACTTACCTTTTGTGTTATTTGTGCATGATTAATGTTCTAAAGATTTCAAAGATTTTAATGTTAAAAAGGTCCCCTACTTAGGCAAAAAATATCTACACAGTATGTATGAATTTTGAATTTTATTATTAAACTTCAATCATATACATGAACATTTTGTTTCATAATACATATATAAAACAATTTTATAAACAAGAAAATCAGCAAGTAGTATAGTTTCCCGAGTAATCACAAATTAACCATAAACATTGTAGCTTGTATATGCAGTGGTAAATTATATTATAACAAATAATTATATGATACGTACCAGTCTATGTTTGACAATAAAGATACAAAACAAATGGGAATGACAATTTCGATATTGATGTTCTAAAAAAAAATGGGTTGGATCTTAAAATTCCCCTCAGGTATTTTTGATTGTTTTAATATACTTACAGAAGTGATCGATTTTATTTTTTTAATATTCTAAAGTTTCTTATTGCTTACACATTTCTCTTCATCGCTAAGATCTGTATATATATAATTTCTCATACATTTTTTTTTTACAGAATGGATCTATTGATGGATCTATTGTGTTTGATATGCAAGGTGTTTTAACATATAAACTTCTCCCAATATATTGATTGCGTACTGTTGCAATGGTTAAAGGTAAATCACATATTTATTGCTTGTAAGCCTATTAACATCTGTTAAAGAAAAGTTGATATGATTGTGAATTTATTTGATATTGATACTTTTTCACAATTTGTTAATGAGTACTGCTATTATTCAAGAAATATCAAACTTTAATTAACCTTTGACACTGATGATTCAAATCAAACTGACGATGATTTGTCAAAAGATCATGATATTGTACTACTGACTAGGTCTATTAAAAGTCTATTTCTCTAACAAATAATATAATATATAATATTGATACAATCGAAGAGATACTGCTGATGCCAAACGTAGATAGGGCAAATATAGAGTAAAAATAAATGTGATGGATGCAAATTAAGTTTGCGTATTATAAAAATAATCAAGGTTTCATTGTTGCCTATTTCATGGATTACACTACAAAAAATACACAGCAATTAATACAAAAACGAAGCGTGTATTGCATGAGAACCCGCCTCACCTATTGCACTACAAAGGGTTAAACAAAACACGGGTAAATCCAGCCCCCCCCCCCCAAAAAAAAAAAAGAAGTTGGAAGCAGAAACATAAAGTAGAGACAAAAAATGTATATACGGAGAGAGGGAGAGAGACACAGAGAGAGGGAATCAACCCCTGGAAAATTAACCCCCGGAAAAATACCCCCAAGGACAATTACCTCCCCCCCCCCCTCCCTGGAAATAACCCCAAAGGACAACCAGCCCCGAGGCCAATTACCCCCTGGACATATTACCCCCTAGGACAATATCACCCCGCGCGGACGATTACCCAAACAAAATTATGCTTTATCAAAAATCAACTTATAATCATGGTAGGATTCCCCTTTAAAGAACAGGGGAAGGGGTGATTTTCGAGAGGAGGGGTGATTTTCAGGGGGAGGGGGCGGGTTACTTGTGCTCGGGTGGATTTCCTTGGTTGCCCTAGGATGTAAGTTTTAGGGTTTGGGTAATCATCCTCGGGGTAATTGTTCTTCCGTGTCCTTGGTGGGGGGGGGGGGGTATTTTTAGGGATGGGGGTAATATTCATGGGGGTTATTTTCCTTGTGGGGTAATTTTCTGGGGGGTAATTTCCGGGGGTGATTGTCCAGGGGTTAATTGTTTTGATACGGGATAATCTAAGCATTTATCTTGTTTCTGTTTTCTTCAAGATTCGCCACTTTTGTATGTTTTTGAAAAAAGTCATGTAAAGAGCTGAACAAACTTTTGTATCAAGCGCCACTGGAATTCAATGTATGTCGTTTCATATCATACGTATTTGCAAAGATATATTTACTTAGTGTATATTCATATCACTATTTTTAGCAACTATATTTTATTGATATCTACTCATATCGTAATTATTAGCAACGATATATTTCAACGGTTGAAGAAGGGCAAAATGTTGTTATTAGCAAGAATACTAAAATTGTAGCAATGATAATACGAGTGGGAATGATAATAATTTTGCGATCATCAAATTAAGGCAAAGTGTGCACCTTTTCAACTCCATTAGCACCTCGCCTTGTGGATGTGAGTACTTTGAAGTATCCAATATTTGTTTCACATAATCAGAAATGATGATTGAGGGGGGGGGGGGGGCTCGCAATCTTACAAGATGCATGACATTTACGGACAGAGAAAGAAAAGGAAGAATGTGTGGGAGGGTTTGGTGTAAAAATGTCAGAGGTAAAAACACCAGAAGTAAAAGTTTTAGAGATAAAAATGTCAGAAATAAAAATGTTAAAGGGAACTACTGCCAGAAGTAAAAACGTTAAAGGTAAAAATATCACAAGTAGAAATGTAAGAGGTAGAAATGCCAAAGGTAAAACATTCCGCATTTTTACCTCTGGCATTTGTTACGTGACACAGTGTGACACGTCTTTCATTAACGATCCATCATTCCCATCCCTTTCGTTTCCCCAGTTTTGTTTGCCCCCCCCCCATATTTGCCTTCGATGGGGCCTGAAGCACCTACCCCCCCCCCGTAACCGTATACGCCAGTGAGTGTGGTAGTAGTATAGTTGAGGGTGAAGCTCATTCAGAGGCCTCGTTATTCCTAAGATCGTTATGTGGTGTACCCGAAGTAAAATATATCAAAAATATCCAAAATTATATTGAAGTTGATTCAAACACGATCTCTGCTCTACGGAAAGGCCCACAATATTTGTTTTGTCATCGCATTTGTATATTATAACAAAGGGCCCTTCTCTCATGAGCATTGATAATTATATCCTGAAATTGGCCTTTCTGTTTATGTACGTATTTATGATCGACACAAATTAGGCTACCTGGGAAATAAAAAGAGGAAGTTACAAAATACAAAAACACATTTACAAGTTTTTTATTTTTTATTTTCTATAATGTATCGGTAGGGAAGTAGGAATAATAGTAAGTATAAGACGGAATTGACACAAGTCACAAACTTTACGTAAGATAGGGCCTTCTTATTTTAATAGTGACTGGAAATGGTTGATACTTATAAATAAAAGGAAATCAATGTGAAGTGAAAATGTATGTAATTATGTCCTTTTATTTAAAATGTCCTGAAGTTTGAAATAATCCTAAATCCGTGTGGTACTGAACATACACTAGCGTACTGAGTCAGTCATGTAAACGAGAGGCTATGGGATTTAAAATTTATATTCTTTATCACTTCAGAGATAGAGAGGGTAAAAAGGGATAAGAGAAAGAGCGAAAAGGATAAAGGAGAAAGAGACAGAGAGAGAGAGAAAGGGAAGAAGAAGAAGAAGAAGAAGAAGAAGAAAAGAAGAAAATGAAGAAGAGGGCAGAGCGGGTTGGAGGGACAAGGGCGGGGTAGAGGGAGATGGAGAGAGAGAGAGAGAGAGAGAGAGAGAGAGAGAGAGGGGGAGGGGAGGGTAATAGAGATAGATAGAAAGAGAGAGAGAGATAGAGAGAGACGGAGAGATAGCGAGAGAGATAGAGAGAGAGAGAGAGAGAGAGAGCGAGAGAGCGATGAAGGGATTCTTCCTCGACTCCTGATAAATGCATTTGAATCGTTTTGATCTGTTCATGAATGTTATACAAAAGAGAAAATATTATTTAAGAAAACTGTTCAATGTTTAGCCGTGAAAACAGGAGAAAATACTGTTGAAAGTTGACTTTCAATAATTCTGTTCTAGGATAGTACGAATAACTCCAATGAATACTATATAATATATAAATAGATCATTTCAAAGAACATTCCATAACGTCGACATCCATACAAGTTTGCTTCCCATCATAACCTAAAGGTGGAGCTATTTTCCAAATTATTACGATAGGCATATACCTTTATTACCTATACCGTGGTAGTATTCACTATAAGGATGACTAAATATTTCATAAAGATGAAATAATATTTAATAAGAAGAAACTGCTCATCATTTAGATATCAAAGTCAATTTTTTTTATCACGATTTGGAGTTCAAACAGACGAAAGAAACCTATCGTTGCCCTATCTTTGACCATTATACGAAGGAAATCTTTATTTTAACACGTTTTGTATCTCTAAAACTTGTCGAGACGGGGAACTTTGCCCTCTCACAACTTTCATGGAGCAACAAAAGTGAAAGTGAAAGCCAAACAATGACGTCACTCAATACAATGGGCCAAATTATGGGGGCTAAAATGACTCATAATCCGAAGAAAAGGCGATTAGGAGCGACTTGCGGTACACGGGTGAATGAATGCGATACTTTCATTTGGTACAAAACTCTTACGCACACTTTCACATGTACACACAGTACATGTACAACGCACACACGAAGCAGCGACAGGTGTAACTGTCAATATTGTAAGTTGTGTGTAAACCATCGTACAGACAGATGTATAGAATCGTGACTAAATCACGTTTAGAATTGGCCAACACTATACATTCTGATAGAGGAGGGAACATACAACATTTTTTTTCTTGACATGAACTTTGATTTAGGAGTGCTACAGCTATCAGGGCAGTGAAATTTGATCGTTTGTTCAGTGAATCCTGCAGAGATAAGGCTTGCTGCGGACTGGGAATTTGTCACGTGCAACTCCGCCGAGACTGCCGGGAGGAAACTCACGCAAGATCGGGATCACGGGAGGTCGGAAGGCCGTGTAGGATCAAGCGACTGCTATAATTCCTGAATTATTCTTTCTCCAGTGCTGTTTGAGCGATTTCAGAGACTGTTTCCTACGAATAGTGAGATCAGATTGGGCAAATTGTTAGAGTTCTATTGACTGGATAATGGACGAATCTAATCCGTGGATATTATTTGGGATTACGTCTTTCAAATCATCACTGTCCAGCGGCAGGGAACAATAGAGTCGTTACACGTAATTGTGTGTGCTAAATTGAGAACTTGTTGAAGAAATCGACCTGTCTATATTTCGTCCATCTGGATCTGTAGATTCCTGAGATCTTCAACTCATGCGGGAGTCTTAAATTCGTGAGTAACCTCAGGTCAAATAAGTATGCCTAGTTCATTTCATAACAACTTCATAGAGACTTCGGTGGTAAGCGCTTTATAAGTAACGTTTTTATTATTATTATTATTATTATTATTATTTGATAGCACATACCAGCACCCCCGAATCCCTTTAGTACGTAACGGAACGAAGGATATTGGGGGGGGGGGGGGGGGGGGGGGGGGGGGGGGGGGGGGGGGGTATTTACACTGCGGAGACAGAAAAAAAGATTAAACTTCGTAGACTTTTCATTTAATTTGTGTTTTCTTTCAATGTAGCAAAAGTTTGGAAGATTTAAAAAAAATATATATAATAAAGGCTAGCTGTATATATCAACTCGCAGGTATGTGAAGTTAAACTACATTCTCGACTTTTCATTTAATTTGTGTTTTCTTTCAATGTAGCAAAAACATTTTAAAGTTTGGAAGAAAAAATAAATAAAATTTGTAAGTATAACCAAAGGCTAGCTGCATGTAACAACTCGCAGGTTTGTGAAGTTAAACTACATTTAAAGTAAAACATTACATTTTAGCCTATTGTGGAACAGTGATAACAAAAATATATATCAAAAGCAATATTCAGATATATTGTTTGAAAATAAAGCATTGCAAATCTTGAAATCCGTCTTTTAGTGTAATATGGATTTGAGTTAGAAGCACGTGCCGATTGGCAAATAACCAAAGGGTGGGAGATATCGATAACATGGTTGTTTTCTTTTCTCTTCATTTTATTGATTTGTTTTGTGTCAACCATAGGCCCGAGGCCTTTATAAAGGAGAAAAGTAGATGAATGGGACGGGCTAGTGCCTGCTTTATGGCATAATAGAATGAAAAATTAGAAGATGATTGATTGTTTGAAACAGTATTATAGAATTACATGTAGATCTGTCATATTAGGCCTTCATGAGAAGTTAATGTGTCTTGACCATACAAACTCGGCACGATCCAAAAAAGAAGGGAAAAAAGAAGAGGAGGAAGAGGAAGAAAAAGATGCAGAAAAAGATGGAAAAAAAAGAAGAGAAGGAGAGACAATCAGGCAAAGGGATGACATGTCGATAAAAAGGCAGATAACTATGTTAGAAAGCAAGAGCACTTGAAATAATAAGGTGTACCGTAACTTGACATAAATATACTCGCAATTTCTGTCAATTATGATATCGTACGGCGAACATTTAAAGAATCTTTTTCTCAATGATCCCCCTCCCCCCTTGAGTAGAATGAGAGGAAAAGTTGACGTCTGTGTAGTTCCAATAATAATATTGATACGAGCAAGAACCTTCTTTCTTTTTGAAATTTGAATACAAGTGACACAGAAGAATTGACAAAGTTGCATTTTGACTGATTGCTGACCTTTCATGACAAAGTTATCTTTTAAATTTTAACACCAAGATAATTATCAATTTTGTCCATATTTGTTGTCAAGATGCGACTCTCACTCCCAAGCACAATCTTAAAGCCCCACTGTCCTACTTGTAGCTAATTGCTCCCTCTATATAGAAAACTTCCACAAGCGGTGCATGTTGGTCCCCCATGATCCTCTATTTCTTATGTTCTTTGAGAGCTGAGTTAATAAGATAGCCACCTGTCAGTGACCTCGCTGTGTGGTCTTATCCCTCCTAGCCACACTAGTGTTGATGAGCTTTAAATGTCTTTGATCAGATTTGGATTCGTCATCATTGATCATGTTTGAATGTAGAATACATGATGAATCAATAATAAAGTTTGTCTAATCCTGTTTACAAATTGTTTCCTCCAGACTTCAGGTAGTTAGAAGACAGGTTCTATCGCCATGGAAGCGCTCTTCTGGACGCTTGTGCTCTTCTCTCAAGTCCTGGGAGTCGTCAGTGTGATCCTGTTAGCAACATGGTTATCAGAATACGGCGGAGGCTATGACTGGGACTGTGGAAACGGAGTTGGCAGCTATCATTATCTTCTGCTAACGATCGGCATGGTTTTTCTCTATGCGGAAGGTAAACTCACTTGGTGGTTCTGGGGTTTACCCCCCCCCCCCCTTTCATTATTCATGATGGAATTTTTTACAGTTTAGTTTGACCTCTTCAGCAACCCCGAAATATAACCCGAAATATGACCCGAAAATAATCACAGAATGCATGAAGCTTACTTTTTTGAATAAAAAAATTCGAAAAAGGTAATTAATCGAAATTTTGTTTGTATTCGATAACCAGTAATATTTGACGGATTTTAAAGAAATTTGATATGAGGGTACATGGCATGGTATCAAAATTTAACCTGATGTCGATTTCGGAGTATGGTTGTCAAAGGTCAAAGGCCGTAGCTCATTAAATATATATGCAAAAATAGCTATATATGGATCTAAAAATGTGGTTTCCGTAAGGTAACTTTAGTAATGTTTGACGGATTTTAATGAGAAAAAAAATGAGGTACATGGTATCAGAATACAGCCTAAAATGTCGTTTTCACTCAATAACGTAAGTAATGTTGTTGAGTATGTACGTCAAAGGTCACAACTCATTAAATATTCAAAAATGGCTAAATATAGGCCATTGTACCTGGCGAGGGGAGGCTATACTTCGCAGTGACTTGATTACTTTGTCTTTTTTAAAATGTAGAGAATTATTCAGATCCAGTCGCTAGGTAGTAATTTCTTTTTAGATTCAAACTTCAAAGTAAGATGCAGAATTATTTGGTCAAAGAAGCATAGTGTATGATATTAGACTCGAGAATCCACAAACCACGATCCCATAATTTAAACGAATTGCATTGAATTGAATATGATAGCTTAAAGAGAAAGTCCACCGGGATATTAAGTTGGTTTTATTAGAAGCAAATGAGAGAAACATGTCTGTGAAATTCTGAGCGAAAACCGATTAAGAATAAAACATTTATGACTTTTTGAAGGTGCGATTGATCAAACACAAATGGGCAACTCTGTGACGTATCTTGCGAGGTCCCCTCCCATTTGCCCTGTACTAAAAAAAAAAACGTCAACAAATTACAAGTTTCAACCATTCATTCACCCTAATTATAATAATTGCAAATATGGTTTTATACAGCCGCTGTATGATATTGAGACAAATATTTTCCGTCATCAATATCTAAGAAAATGACAGTTTATGCATTTGTTTGCCCTGAGCGAACCGGAGAGGAGCTCAAAAGATACGTCACAGTGTTGCCAATTTGTGTTTACTGATGACAACTTTAAAAAATTCGTAATATTCATATTTTTAATGGGATATTACTCAATCTTTCACTAATTTGTTCCTCTCAATTTTCTCTCTGTTTTCATTAAAACCATCTTAATATCTGGGTGGACTTCCCCTTTCAAATTATTGCATGCATGCGTGTATATTCATATAGTGCCAACTGATGGATTACAGCGATAACCAACATTTCCTGCTGTTTAATTTCGGTTAGGATGGAATATAACGCCCCACTAAAACAGTGTCGGTGAAATTGCAATTTTCAGGATGATTAAAACCGTTGTGGGAGATTTCAAAATATGACGATCCGGTTACTTTCTCTTGCAGATCTCTTTCCCGTCGGTACCCCCCATATCAAAATATCCCAGCGACTTTCAGATCGGCAGTACCCTGCAATATGAAGCCGCTTAGTTTTAAGAGGGGAGGGGCACAATGTATAAAGTAAAATATCGTGGCGATCACCCATTGTCAGACTATCCAATCCGCAGTTATATAGATCCTCTTTTTCCCGTCAATACCCCCCCCCCCCCATATCAAAATGTTCCAGTGACCTCCAGGTCGACAGTACCCTGCAATATAGGGCGCATAGTTTTCAAATTCAAATTCAAAGTTTATTCAACACTCTTCATGAAAACATTTAAAACATATAAATACAGAATGAAGTTATAAATATAAAAAAGCACAAGAGAGTGATAACAAATACAATGGCAATTTATAAGAGCATTTGGGATAGGCAGAAAGGAGGGAAGTTCCTTATATAAAAGCATACCCCTAAAAACACACATGAAAACGATAACAAAAGAACAGAACGAAAAAAAAGAAGAACATATTAAAACTTACTATCATGCACGATCAGAGTATATAAAAAACCGTCAAAAATTGGCCCATACTATTGATACTGATTATTATACATGTTTAACAGAAAGTTTTAAAGGTACTATGTCCCATTTGCAGGTCAAAAATATGAAAAGGTTAAATTCCAACGGCATTTGGAAGACAATACTTATTTAGTACTTCCCTCAAAACGAAAGTGTTTGAAAACTGCTTTTTGTGGGAAAATAATGACCATTAGTTGCCATTATTTTCTTGCATAATTTGAATACTAGGACACTGCTAACGTTTACATTTCACAATATTCTTAATTCCAGTGAAGTTTTTACAGAATTTGATGTTGGCTGCCAAAGGGACATAGTAATCTTTAAGAGGGGCACAGTTTTAAGATATCGTGGCGATCGCCCATTGCGAGACTATCCAATCCGAATTATATAGATCCATTTTACTTTATCATTACACAATCTTGAAGAAATTTAAGACCATTTGTATGATGTAATGATAGTCTTCCTCATCATATCTGCGGTGTGTAATTGTTTGGATGTCTGGAGAAGGATTCCTAATTTGTATTTGCCAGGCGGACCAGAAATATTTCAAAAATTACGATCCAAAGTTTGAGACGTTTATATAAATAAATAACCGATGATGGTGTAACTTACAAAGCACAAAAGGAACTTCAATGTTTTTTATTTTTTTTAATTCATTTTTAAATATTTTTATTACTAGATATCTCTGGCGGACAGCATGGGGTCGAGACTTTCCGAACTTAAAGAAATATTTTACGCCTACAGCAACTGGTTGTGCCCTTAACATACAATTTATCCGGTTCAGAAATTCTAGCGTTTTGTTTTCACTCATCGAAGTACATGGGGGGAGGGGAGGGGTAAGAAATTACAAGTCCAATAGCTGCCCAATAGGAGTTTCCAAACCATAAGTGGGGTTGCACTTGCAGGCCTCTCCTAACCACCTCTTAAAGCTAGCGGATGTTAAGTCATCAACTAGAGCTAGCGAAACAGAGATATACTTCCACTATTACGTAATAAAAGGTTGAGTGTTACTATTGAGTTCAACATTTGTTCAGTTAAACTATGGTAGGGTTCATGGTTCAACGTAAAATAATTAAAAGCACGCAAAATTAAAAGAATATTTTTTATTTTTTATTTTTTTTTATATACTTTTCAATTTGATAAAAAAGAAGAAGATATATATATATATATATATATATATATATATATATATATATATATATATAAATGATAGGCCTATATTCAACAACATGATATATAAGTAATTTTGGTAAAGAAATAAAAGATGTAACATCGAAAATACTCGGGTCTTACTCTTCCAGAAAAAGAAATTTGTTCCTCCTTTACTGACAAGAGGCAGGGTTCTAGGAAGAATAAGAAGATTAACAAATACAGTACAAATATGATACCAAATACAAGAATAGAGAATATAATCACGAGAAAAACAAAGACAAAAGCACACAATTGTATAACAAGAACAAGAATAACATGGAATCATTATCGTACTAAAATTATAATATTTGAGTACCATACTTCAATTTCTATATCATTAGTATACATCAGTTAATATCAGTTTAATTAAGAATGAGGAAAATTCGTGGTTAGCTTTTTAGAAATAATCATAGTGAGAGGCAAATCTGTTTTCAATTTCAGTAAATATGAGACACATTTTGGGATAAATTTTGAGGAAATCTGTAGAATAGATAGCTATATTTAACGAAAAAGATTCTTTTTTCTTCTCTTACAGCAATGATCTCATTTCGAGTGACACACAGACTCGGTCTCTCCTACACGGCTGAGAAAGCGATCCACGCAACGATACAATCAATCGTCGTCGTTTTGGTTGGTATCGGTGTGCATGCTGCGTTCGTCTGCAAAGACACACAGGGCCCAGAAAAGGCGGGAAAAGACCTGTATTCATTACACAGCTGGTTGGGACTAGCAACAATTATTGTCTTCTTTGGCCAGGTATGTTATTTTCTAAATTGTAGATACAGTGGAAAAGGTGTGATACGAGCTAATTAAATACTTGTATCTTCAGCCATATAATATTCAATTTGAATAGGCCATTTTTCGTAATGTAACCAAATCCGATACATTAGTCTTTGTGAAGTGCCTCAATACAAATTATTTCATTCAACTGATAAGACTAATAGTATTCAAAAAATCAGAATACATACTGCATATATTAAATGTTGCTAGGTAGGGCAAGCCATAATGTTTGTCCTACCTGGCAACAACTAGTATATGCTGTTCGGATTCGGTCTATGTAAATACTATTATTCATATCAGGTGAATGAAATAGTTTGTATCGAGGCACTTCACAGAGATGTATGCAAACAAATTGGTTACATTACGAAAATAGCCTATTAAATTCTTGCCCATCGAATTTCATACTAAACATAACTATGATAAGACTAATTATAATCACGAACAAAGAAAAACGTTGATGTTTGATTTCTTTGATTGAGTTTCAATGGCAATGAAAAGGCGTCTGGTTTTAGATCAACGTTTTTGTTATATCAAACTGGAATGTCAAGAGTGTATGTGTAATTAGCTGTCTGTTTTTTTTTTTTTGTTGCTATAAGAATAACCATTATTTTTTACTAGAATGTTGATGGCGGTATTGATCTGTAGATTTAAAAGACCAGAGAAGCTTCATAGCGCTGTCTATTGTTGATAAGATGACTTCGGAACTCAAGACCCAAGTTCAAATCGGGTTCCATGTGGGTTTAACATTATTATGTTTTTCTTCATTAAACTCTTTATCCGTTAATCCATGAATTACTGAATAATTATTTTGGTTGATTTTATACATACTACACCTGTAGCTGTACTCGAACGATCACTTTTTAATTTGATATTTTTCGGTGATTTTGTACACTTTGAAGTATGTGGGATCAAGTATCGTCTTGAAATGGTTTGAGAAAACGTATCAGTCATCCATCTCGGATGCGTTTCCCCAACGCTTCAGACATATTTGTATCCTGTTTACAAATGCATTGTATAACATAGCACTGTTTCTATTTTTTACATATCTTTTCAGTGGATATATGGGATTGTGATGACTGTCGCCTTACGCAAGCTCGATCGCTCATGGCAAGATTTACTGCTCCCCAACCATGCTTTCTTTGGTATTCTAATATTCGCCATGTCAATATGCTCTTGTTTAACAGGAGTCAACGAAATGGCTATATTTTTCGTGTAAGTTCTTTGAAAGTTTACACATACTTCAATCGAAAATGTGAAAATGATGGTGATTATTTTTGCATTGTCACCGCTCTAATAATAAGCTCGTCATTTTAACATTTAGTACTGACTATAGTCAATGTAATTAGTTTGGTTTGAAGCATGGGCAGATATTGAGACCGTGCTACGTTTTGGATTTTGTAAGAAAGTGTAAAAAGTTTATTGTCAATATAATCTGTTGCTGACGTTAACATTGCAGGGTTTATGAGCTACTTTGCCAGCTGTAAAGGAAGCCCAAACGATAGCAAGTCAGAGTAACACAATATCAGTCGCACGATCCCAACCTCTGGACTCTGAGATGGTTTGGGTTCAGGGGCGGATCTAGCTTTTTGCCAGGGGGGGGGGGGGGGGGGTTGACCCAATGGCGGATCCAGGATTTTCCAAAATCGCGCCGTTTTACTGCTTTACTTTTTTTTTTTTTTTTTTCTCTCCTTCTTTTTCCCTTTTTTTTCCCCTTTTTTTTCTCACTTGACCGCCCAAGGGGGAGGGGGTTTTAAACCGCTGAACCCCCCTCCTAGATCCGCCCCTGGGGTTTTCTGTGACTAAAATGCTTGAAGGTGTGCGATGGCCTGTATTGACGTATCGTTACAATTATGTACACCTAAATTCTCTCTGTTTCCTGCCATTACAATCACTTAGAGAAATTTACTGACAAGCATTTTTTAATAACACTTAACGTTCGTAATGTTTTAAAATTGAATCGGTTATCCCGTCCGAATTTAGAAAGACAATTATTTGTGAATAACATGCGTAGCACCGTTATCTATCAGTTTCCAATGTATAAAACTGAAAATAAGAAGAGACTGCTTATACGGTTACAGTAATATCTTCATTGAATATTTGTAGGGCCCTACCAGTCAGAATATTAAAATAAAGAGAGGCGACCAGATGATACGTTGAGCATTGATGTGTGTAAAATCTTAAAAGTCTGTTTCAACCCCCTTTTTTATTTCAGAGAGAACTACAATCAAATCGTGCCTTCGGGTCACCTCGCCAATGCCTTTGGTCTTTGCCTCATCGCGTTTGCTGCCGTTACCGCTTACGTCGCTTATAAACCAGACTTTCAAATTCCAGAAAACAGGCGGCACCCAGAGTGCAATGCGGTACCCACATCAGAGGGCATCGCTACTTCCGGGTCAGGAAAAGTTGTCACGAACCCGACGGAGCATGCGCATCAAAAGTACGGTGCTACGGAGGAGACGGCGTTCAAAGAAATGGATGAAAGAGAAACGAAAGAAGTTTGAAGTATGAATCTAAGATATTTACGTATAGGTGTATTTCAGACTCTGATATCGATATTACGATGACAAGGAAGCGAGAGAATGAATGGTGCCTATTTTTTCTTCAACAAGTAACATTCAGAATTTCAGATTCGGTATGAACTATATTATCAGATTCATATTTATATGCAAAAGTGAATTCCAGCTGCCTTTATGTATGTTTTGACTTTCATATAACTGGAGTGCTATAAAACATATAATATGATACATAATTGGAAACATCGTGGAATTCCATCTGTAATGTGGCAACCAAACAGCGAAAAGAGCTATGGACTACTTTAAAACCAATTGGGGTGAGCTTTTCATCTGGACAATGTCATACAAGCTTCAATGTGATTGGTTTGTAAAACTTACTTCATTGTGACGGACTTTCACCAAATCGGCCTTTTTTCTGTATCAGTTCTTGAACAATTTCCAGCCTTAAAGAATTCAGAGTTGTTCGTGAATTACGATTGAATTACTTTATAAAACTATCACTATGAAAATTAAGATTGTTCAAACCAATGAATTCTTAATAACAGTATTATCAGCATAAGTGCATTTATTGTGTGTTTGTTTTACAAAATGAAGGTACATATAATTATTTTTATGGTGCTTAAGTAAGGAGGAAAAAGATTTGACCAATAAACTTTTACAATATTTCCTATAATAGAATGGACTATCTGTTCTTATTTCTAGGGCCCTGTGTTATAAATAGTTGCAACATATTTGCGATTGATGTCAATCACATCTATGTGAAAGTAAAACATTTATTTTCACTAATAACTATTAATTGTACACTTACAACATTGGGTTTATCGAGGAACAAAAATTAGCGGTGATTCTCAGGATCATGTCTTTCCAAGCTAACGTTACTGCAGCAAAGGTTACAGCTCCCGCTAGCGGTAAACTGAAAATATCCCTAAGTAGCTTCTAGCTTCTGACATCGTACACAAATAAATGACATAAGCAATCACGACAAGTTACACACCCAGCACTTTCTACCAGGGAAAGAGAGAGTCAAAGTAAGACAGTGGGTTTATAACTTTACATGTATATTTATGGATGTGTGAAAGAGAGACGGAACGACAGAGAGAGAGAGAGAGAGAGAGAGAGAGAAGGGGGATGGGTAGAAGAGAGGGAAAGATAGAAGAAAATAACATGATGAATCGCTCTACATGTATAACCAGGTCTTCTCAGACTCTCTGCTCCCCTCGTAACCCGTCAACTTAGTAAGACTATAGTATCATCCCACCCTTTCCATGTTTTCACTCTTATTATGATGGCGGCCTTTCGCGATAACGCTACGGGAAATTCCCAATTATGTTCCCCCCTACGGTCAATCAAACGGGATGGAAATGTGGGTAAGCCCCCCCCCCCCCCCTCCCCCAAACAGCGATCAAGTATTAATGTCGAATGGTACAATTACAGTGATACTGTTTAGGTCTTGTCGAATTGGTGCTCTGAAGGTCGACTTGCAGTATGACATAACTTGACTTGATTTATAGTTAATCAGCATTTAATACTTGTTTTGTGCAGTATGTGCATGATTAAAAAGGGTGCGGGTGATATTTTGAAAGCCTAACTATTAAACGAACAAAATAAGAGAGCAAGGGGAACCTAAAACGTTAGTGTCACAAAGTATCAAACAATACCCCCCCCCCAAAAAAAAAGGGGGGGGGGTAGTGAAAAGAGAATGACAAGACCGCAACTTTTCTCACTTCCTGAATATAATTTGTAACAGCTACTTGACTTCATGTAAATTAATCACAGCGTTGAATAATTGTACATGCCTTGTGCTCTCAGTACTATCTGTTTTAAAAAAAGGTATACATGTTTTTGGAAACTGAGTAAGCTAATGTAAACAAGAGAAGAAATTAGAAGGTTAAAGATAAACTTTAATACTGGTAATGCAATTGCATTGTGAAAGGAAAGGTGTGGAAAGGATCAGAAACAGTTGATCATGTAGCATGTAAGTATTGGTGTGCACTGCAAGGTTCTGGAGTCATCAAAATCAAAGTAAATTTGACCAAGTCTTGGTAAAGTACCAAGCACTGTACACAGAAAGCTGTATATGGGACAACACAAATGTGTTGGGGCTAGTACTACCTTGATTTCCTTCTCTTTCTATGCTCATTACTCAGCCAGTATACATTTTCTTCCAAAATTGTTAGGCCCATGTCATTTATTTGTAATCTTGAACATTCAGTATAAGTTTCGTTTGATTCTGTGAGAATTAATTTTTTTTTTTTTTTACCAGAACTGGAGTTTAAAATAATGTAAATAATGTAAATGTTACTGTCGGGTGGGGGATAGGCAACAAGGCCCGGCCACCAATTCAATCGCACGGATTTAGGGAGGAAATTAAGGAGGGGCCGGAAAGGGATGGGGGGGGGGGTATATTAAAGGTGATTGCGAAGTCCCCACACACAACATGATGTAGGAAAATTAGTGTCCCCCCCCCTTCCCAATCCATAAAAATGGACAGGAAATGCTATTCCATTTTCTATTCCAACAGTAAAGTTCTTACACCGTCTGAAAAGCACTCATGAATGTTACTCATAAAGTTCAAAGGTTACCTGGAAGTCTCCGTGCGGGGAGACTGTCATTCCGCAGGTTTATTGTATTCGACTAGGCACGATATTTTCTAAGGTTTACGTAGATAAGGCCATCAGATAATAACATTAAATCTGCAAATTGTCTGATTAGACCTAAATTTACAGGAAAAGGGGAGGAACAAGAAGTACTCGCAAAACTGCTCGAATCGCGGAATTACAAGCAGCTATGGAAAAATACAGCCCTGGGGAAACCATTCGATCGAAGGAAAAGCGACCTTCCGAAAAAGACGAGGATCGGGATCTGGTGTACGACTTACGACTTGACCGATCATCTGGTAGTCTGTAACAATCGGGGCACGGCAGAATTCAGCCAAAAGTTCATGGTCGAAGTTGAATACCAGATAGGCGAGTATAATATATTTTGATTTAAATCAGGGACGCTTTATTAGTGTATAAATTATGTAAGGACAGGCGCGCCGGAAGCAGTTTGGGATTTTTTTTTTTTTTTTTTTTTTGGGGGGGCAAACATTTCAGGGGGCTTACCTTCCAGGGGCAGTGACGTAATGAAAAAAAAACGTTCGGAAGGGGGGGGGGGCAGACGAAAAATCTGCATCACCACCAGTCTTCCACGTTACATGCAGGTCCCGCGGAACGTTTTTCAAAGTGGAGTATTAACGATCAGGTAGAGCATAAATTGGCGTGGGGTCCAGGTCATGAGCCTCGGCAGGGGGTCAAGGGGCTAAGCCCCCGGAAGCTCAGCTTTTTTTTAGGCATTTACTTACGGTTAAATGAGCATCCAGGGGCCCTCTTTAAGGCCATTGACGTGTTCCAGGGAGGGGAGAGCCCCCAGAAGCTCAGGGGTTTTAATATTTAACTACGGTCGGATGAGCATCCAGGGGCCGCCTTAGGGCCCTTGGTGGGGTCCAGGGGGCAGAGCCCCCAGAAGCTCAGGGGTTTTAATATTTAACTACGGTCGGATGAGCATCCAGGGGCCGCCTTAGGGCCCTTGGTGGGTTCCAGGGGGCAGAAGCTCAGGGGTTTTAGGCATGTAATTACGGTCAGATGAGCATCCAGGGGCCCGCCTTAGGGACCTTGGTGGGTTCCAGGGGGTAAAGCCCCCGGACGCTCAGGGGTTTTAGGTATTTAATTACGGTCAGATGAGCATCCAGGGGCCCGCCTTAAAGCCCTTGATGGGGTCCAGGGGGCAGAGCCATCGGAAGCTCAGGGGTTTTAGGTATTTAATTACGGCTAGATGAGCATACAGGGGCCTGCCTTAGGGACCTAGTGGGGTCCAGGGGGCAGAGCCCGGACGCTCAGGGGTTTTAGGTCTTTAATTACGGTCAGATGAGCATCCAGGGGCCCGCCTTAGAGCCCTTGGTGGGGTCCAGGGGGCAGAGCCACCGGAAGCTCAGGGATTTTAGGTATTTAATTACGGTCAGATGAGCATCTAGGGGCCCACCTTAGGGCCCTTGGTGGGGTCAAGGGGCATAACCCCCGGAAGCTCGGGGTTTTTAGGCATTTAATTACGGTCAGATGAGCATTTTTTATACCTTATTTGTGACATTTGCAGGTCACTTATCCGTCTTTCTTTTTTTTCTTCTCTTTAACATACTTTTTCAAAAAGTGAGTGGGGGAGGGGGGGGGGGGGGCTCGAGCCCAGCCACTCTGCAGACCATGACATTAAGGCTTCTAAATAAGCGTATTTTTTCGCTCGACTGTAATTTGGGAATATCTTATTTTCCAACAAACGTATAAAAAGGTATGACTTACCAAAAAATGGAGAAAAAATACCGGAAAATCATGTCACAACAGCGACATTTGTAAATCACTTGTATCGAATGAGAAATACACCCCCCATCAGTACGCCAGCGTTCAGGGGCTCATGTCTTCTCACCCCTATAACAAAAAAAAAACGGACACGCTTTCCCATTCTCGCACGATATGTTCACGTATCGCTATTATAAAGACCTCCATTGATAAATACCGTATAGGTGGCATGCGCAATGTTTATGAAATTTAATTTCTGTGAACTTTCCTTTTCTTTGAATGGAATTGTATATGTGATTTAATTCAGGTTTGTATTATTGTTATGTTTTGTGGGTTAAAAATACAAACCATGTTTACTTCTTTACTGCTTTTTTTTTTTTTTTTGTGGGGGGGGGGGGGGAAGGCGGTTTTTTTTTGGGGGGGGGGAACTGCCCCCGACCCCCCCCCCCCACTTCCGGCGCCCATGCTCTTGTGTATTAGTTAATGGACATTGTACAGATAGACTTGAAATAGGACGAGGGTGTCGCCAGGGATATCCTTTGTCTTTCTACCTCTTTTTGTTAGTCAGATAGATACTTGGGATCCTAATACGACACTCACATTCTTTGGGCGGATTGCATATGAATGGAAAAACGCTTAAACTGTTGCAATATATGCAGACGATACCCTTTGGACACTCAACGGTTCAATGCAGGATTTACAATGTGCCCTTACAATACTTAATGAATTTGCAAATATGTCCAATCTCAAGATCAACACGATTACAACTCAAGTGATATGGATTGGGAAGAATAGAACTTTTAAAAAAGAGATTTTACACGAGTACAAACTTAATTGGATATCTGAGGGATATTATAGGTACTTGGGCATACACTTTTCAGTTAAATTATCAGAAATGGTTAATCACAATTATCAAGAAAAGGTTCAAGAGATAAACTGTCAGATGACGATATGGTTGAAAAGAACATTGACTCCTTTAAGAAGAGTCACCATAGTAAAATCCTTATTTATACCCAAATTGAACTACCTATTTTTATCTCTTCCTGAACCAAAATTAGAAATTATGAAGGATATCGATCGACGTTTTTCGAATTTATATGGCATGGCAAACGTGATAAAATAAGTAGGAAACAAATAGGCCAATTGTACAATGAAGGTGGAGTTAAAGTGACTGACCTTTGTATGCATTCCTAATCACTTAAGATATCATGGATAAGAAGATTTATTTGTTCTGAAAGTTTCACTCTTCATATGTTCCAATTATTCTTACCTCCACCGTATACATCTCTTCAGATATTCATGGGGGCTGAATATTACAAAGAATTAGCCAATACAATACGAAACC